CTAAAACTTACAACTAAAATTTTACAAGTGTTAATAAATCAGAGAATAAGTTTAGATGATGAACAACAGCGTTTTCGTACTGGAAGATCGTGTACAGTTGCAATATTCTTTATAAAGCAAATTACTGAGAAATCACTAGAGTATAATAGACCAGCATTTCTGTGTCTGATTGACCTAAACAAAACGTTTGACAGAATAAGACTCAAAGATGTACTTGTTATTCATCTTCTGTATAATAGAGAAGATTCCCTAAATATTATAAAAACTATCGAAAGCATCTACCAAAACAACAAAATGGAAGGCAGACTTCTCTTTTTTAAAAAATGCTACATTATGGTTGGCATCAGGAGAGAGAATGATTATTATTCTCTCTTCTGATGCCAACCATAATATAGTCTCTCCTTTATAAAAATTTTAAACTGTTTAAGCCCCTGAAGATGCTCTAGAAAAGGGGTTACCAATTATATTCTCTGAGGGTCCGTTTTAAAAACCTACTTCACTTTCGCGGTCCGGACACTCAGCACTAAACCAGGCAGTGGTGAAACCGGGGGGAGGGTTACCAGAAATCCTCCAGTAGTTGCAACCCCCCCCCCATCCAGCAGATTATCTTGGTTACGTAGTTGAAACCAGGCATCTAGGCCACCTCGCTTCGGAGGGTTGAGATGCCTGGTACCAGGATAGATTTGTACCTTGAACTTAATTTAATCATTTAATGCTACTGTTTTTGGTTGTTTTCTTTATATATAAATGTTATGAACAGCTTACCTTAAATATCGTTTACTTTACAACTGAAGTTTTGTACATTTTACGGCGAATAAAAAAAACTATATAAGTATGGAAAAGCAGGGTAATATCTCATTTTTTGGCCACTGTACGGTTGAATACTTTCCTGGTACAGTAAATGGAATATAAATCGTGTATTGTGTTGATATTATATCCACAGTGGTCTGTGATTATATTAGTACTTTTTGAACACAACAGTATTGTAAATTAATACTAAAAATATTTTAAAAGTTAGAAATTTATATTTAAAATGGTACAAAATGGTAGTTAACATGTTAACTTTTCTATATTAATATCAATGCAAGATGAATGTTTGTTTTAAGCTTTATAAATCTGAAAATTATTTTAATTAAATGCTCAGCTGAAAAGTACTCTTATTTAACATGTAAAGAAGAAGGGAATATAAAATATCGCACATAACTAATTTGACGTCAATTTAATTAAATTCAAAAATAATGATTACAATAAGTATAAAAATAAATATAAAACTAATTTCAAAATTAAACTATTAGTGAGAAAAATGACACTTTTTATTTTGTGCAACCTGTCTGAAATTTGGAGTGAGGTTAGTGCAACTGATTCTCATTAGAGAGCCGAGATGTTTATCTGCAACCGAAATATGTACCGATTTTAAATTAAGTTCATTTTTGAAAAAGCGGCTTCGCACACATAAGTTGGGCCAAAAAAAGTACAAAGTTTCATTGCCAAAGATTTTAATTCTGGAAATTTTTTGTCACATACATATTTAATCCAAAATTTATCCCATGCAAACGTTTCTGGAACTTGAGTATAAACCTCCTTTAAAACGGAATCTTCCTGATACTCGATCATTTCCATCTGAAGGGCAGCTTTGTTACTCTTATAAACGTCTGCTGCTTCGCTAGTCCATACACCATTAGCCTTTAGTGAAAATCTGTTGGTTAACAGTTGCACAACATTTTCAATTTTGTGAAAATCAGCAAAGTATTTTTTAAATTCAAAATCAAGTTCATTAATAAAACGTAAAACTGGGTAACATTAATATCTTTATTACTATCACAAACCGATTTAAGAAGAGGAAAATGCCTCAAAAATTGACGAAGCCTCAAAGATGACTTTACACGTATAAAGTTCACTATCTTCATGACGGTTTGCATTTTACTGTGAAGATTTGGATTTTAACTGCAGCACAATACACTTTGATGAATAATGCAATGATACGATATTAGATTTCTATTGCACATAGGATCTCAGTCGCTGAACCAAGCTTTTTCTACACCCAACCATCACTGCAGCGTCGTCCGTTGTGATCGAAATAACTTCTTTTAAATCCAAACTATCCTTTCCAAAATAGTCCACTACAGCCTTGTGTAAATCCTCTCTTGTAGTAGTTTCTGACATTGCCAAAAAACAGTCAAAAGTTCTTCAATAAACTCTTCACTGGTTCTGTCTAGGTGTCTGTAATGTCAAATGACTTATCCAATGCCAAAGTAAAATATTTAGTGAAAGCCAAGATTTGTTTTAACGTTTTGTATGTTTCATCTACCAATATCTGTGTATTCCTTGTGCTTAGTAATAGAAATTGGAATATGCTGAATAGTATCAACATTCAACATCCTTATTTTGAAATTATGAATCGTCTGCTTCCAGAAAACACTCTTTAACGATAGCCGCGTCACTAAATGGCTTCATATATTTGTCAAGCATCCAGGAAATGCGTAGCCTCAGAACGTTTTTCTTGATCGATCATTGATCGTTTAATAATTTCCGTAGATGTAGCGTAATTTGAAATTAGGTTCTCAGGAACTGGTTTGTCGCTGCTCTATATCGAACCAAAATCTAGTACCGTCATTATGTTTTATTTCTTTACTCCGTTTGGAGTACCAGAAATTAAATTCACTACGAATTTTGACCATGATGAACGGCATTTGGAATGCAATCTTAGATTCCTTGTCAAGTTATTTATCAAGCTGTTTGCTTTGCAAGTTTTCGAAAGCACAGTGGTTAAGATTTAAATTCGATTTCGCCAGGTAGAAATCGTACGATTTCTCTTTTTGTTCTTAGATGGCGTAGTTACGTCTGTATATAGTTATTTTGATAACTATTGTCTACGACGGGAATAGATTTTGTTTCGATACGGAGTAGTGGCTATACCGTTATAAGGAGACCTAAAGAGGTCGAAATACGTATAAGTGGCTTGTCGCTACTCTGTATCTAACAAAAATCTAGTACCGTTATTATGTTTTCGTTTAGGGCATATCGACAAATCTGCCGTTGCCGAACACGGTTTGGGAAGCGGAGAACATCGAATACTAAGAAGGACTGAAAATCAACAAGACATGGATACCAATATTAAAATCCATAAACGCTCTTCCCGCCAAACACGAAGAAAGAAAAGCTTCTACAAACAACGACACGCCCCCTCAAGCCGAAACCAGTGAAGGGGAGGCGAGTGAAGCATTAACATCTCCAGAAGATGCCAACACCTAGTGTTGGCGAAACGTCGAGAACTAATCTCAGAAGAGAACGGCCTAATAGCCCAAAAAACAGTTTTAACAAGTTAGACGATGGCCGTGAAAGCCTAACGCAGTTTCTTAGTACCTGTTTGTTTGATTTGCCATTAGACTGTGTCAATAAATAAAAGTTACAGAAATGACAGGAAAAATACAGAACAGGCACTCTAATTCGTAAAAGTAAACCTAAGAAAACATAATAACGGTACTAGATTTTGGTTCGATACAGAGCAACGACAAGCCGCTTAAACAGATATAAATCGAGAATCATGATAATTGACAGAGCTACCAACAATCAAAATCATCTGGCCATGATAAACAATATTGCTGTTGTAGATAAATTTGTGTATCTGGGCTCATTAATAACCAGCAAAGGAGGCTGTACTGAAGAAATAAAGCGGCGGTCAGCAATCGCAAAAAGCGCTATGGCAAAATTAACAAACATTTGGAATAGCCATAAAATAGCTACCGATACAAAAATGAGACTAGTAAGAAGTCTAGTTTTTCCTTATGCATCGGAATGCTGGACCCTTACTGGGAAAGACAAAAAAAACATAGATGTATTTGAGATGTGCTGCTGGAGACGAATGCTGAAAATACCATGGGTGGCCCGAAAAACAAATGAATCCATACTGGACCAGCTAAACATAAAGAAAAGTCTAAGAACACAAATATCAGAACAAATAATAAGCTATTTTGAACATGTGCTTCGAAGAAATGGTATTGAAAAACTTACCATCCAGGGAAAAGTAGAAGGCAAAAGAAATAGAGTTAGATCTCCCACACGATACACGGACCATATTGTTGCTACCATTGGCGCTCCATTGTCAGAATGTGCTAGAATGGCAGAAGATAGAAAAACGTGGAGGAACATTGGAAAAATTAGCTAATAGCTTCATGATATCACGATGCCTGCATCAGGTTAACGACTAAGAAGAAGAAGATTTTGAATTTAACGGCGGTCCTCAAAAAACTAGCTTACAGTCCGGATGCGGACCGCGGTCCGCCATTTCGTGAGCCCCTGCTCTAGAAAGCGAAAGTACTTGGGCAAGAATTGATTAATAAACTGTGCTCGATATTTGCCTTTTCACTTGATCAAAGTTCATTTATTCGAGCATTCAACCTTTATCAATTTATGATATAATAACCTAGATACCTAACAGAGAGAAGTGGTAATAATATGTAGTTACCAACTACATATTGACAACACTGTTAAATTCTACCATTTAATCTATACTGAAAATTAAACGTGAGACAGCGTATAGTTCACATAAATATTTATATACTAAACGAATGTATTACTTTCTTTCTACGACGTGCGTAGTTCTATATAAAAAACATTTCACCATAACGGCAAATTTTCCCTATTTAAATTTTCATTTAACCCCCTCTGTGGCTCAGCGGTAAGAGCGCCTACCTTTTAATCTAAAGGTCGTGAGTTCGAATCTCATCTGGGTGGAAATTTTCGTTTATTAAAAATTAATGAATGAAAATAATTTCTATCCTTGTGCGATCGGTACTCACCAGAGGGACCGCAGACGTTCGGATACAATTAGCGTCTCTTAGCAAAGACAATGACGTCGACTTTGCTAAGTATCAAGGCAATTACTCTACACACACACACACTGCACTAGGTACCTGACTGTACCATGCCAATGATCATAGTTGTCGAGGCATTAATCTAATAAAAAAAAATTCATTTATCAAGAAATAAAATAATGCATGTAGATAACATAAAGATTTATTGAAAAAATATAAAATATCTATCTTACGAATACCATTCTTTTTCAATCAAGAGTTTAAATAAAAATATAAATTTTTTTCTAGCAATAGGATGTATATCATCCATTGTTAAATTTTTGATCTCGTCAAAGTTAGTTTTTTGTCCTTTTTTGGCAAATATTACTAGGGTGTTCATTATAAGTATATGGAAAAACTCTGAAGGGGCGTTTTGCTTTAGGTTATTTATAAAATCTGCGTATTTGAATGGAGTTACGTCGCAGTTGAAAGCTTTCAAAGTTGTAATCAAATTATCATGGTATATCATTAGAAGAGTATCAAAATGTTTTTCTAATACCTCTATATCTACACTACTAATAAGAAAGAAAAATAGATCTGTAGTGATCTCTTTTACAGAGTACATTTGAAAGTCCAGAAATTTATTTTTTATTATCTTTCCATCTTTATTCTTCATCTGCATGGTATTGTTTAACCACATATCCTTATGTACAAATCCAGAAAATGCCGACTTGTCAGGCTTTGGCTTAAACGCGTCTCCAGTTTTAAAATTTTCTTCCTCAATACTCATTAAACCATCCAATTTATCTACATGCTGGCTGCAAAAACTGTCTTCTGTGAGAATTTGTTTCAGTATGGTTCTTGGCAGCTGTGGTGGACCATGATCATCACCAGGTTCTTTATCTTTGGAGTTTTCTGCAAATTTTGGTAGGCAAATATTGTCGATAAATGTCTTTTTAAATAAATCCGGGTCTTTCAGTTTGATTGCTAAAGGAATGGCGTGGAAGACAGCAAGATCAGTCAGCAGTAATTTGGCACCATCTAAGTCAAATCCCTTGTGCCTGTCTCCATTGCAATATCCTGCAAATTTAAAAATATTTATTGAAATCTAAATAAACTTCATTGACAATGTTAATAAAAATATAAATTTATCCTGCAAAAAATCCAAAAATATTAATAAATTATAAATCATTATGAAAATGATCTAGAGAGAATAAGACAATAAAAAATTCTCGTGCTAATTGTCAAAAATTGTCCTGCGAAAAATCTATATGTTCATCACACCATCAAAACTATAGCCATAAACTTGATGACAATTAAAAACTTTCATTAGATCTTTTACACAGAATCTGTCTTTCATCAACTAGACTCTAACGTCCACTGCTGAACATAGGCCTCTCGCATGCTTTTCCACTTAGTACGATTTTGCGTCATCTGAATCCAATTTGTAGTCACTCTTTTTATGTCATCTGTCCATCTCGTTGGGGGTCGACCTCTATTTCTTTTAGCTTGTATTCGGGGTCTTCATTCCAATTCCAATCCACACGGATCAAAATATGCCTTTTCAAACATCTACGACGACTAATTTTATTCTAAACTTGTCTCTCGAAAGTTTTTTTAGGAATAAAACACTCAAAAATTGTCCTGTGAAATATGTACACCAAAAACATAAGTAAAAAAGTACGTTTAAAGGGCTTACGAAATACTTAGATATCATCATCTTTGGCTCGACAATCCTCTGTGGATCCTGGCTCTAATCCTGGATCTAAGATTAGTCGTCATTCTGTTCGGTTTCTCTTCTGATGTCTAGTCGGTCTAAGTCGGTCTCAACTCTAGCTAAAAACGTAATTCGCGGTCGGCTTATGATTTTTCTTCCTATAAGTGTTCCTGTCGTTATATTTTTAGGAATTACTATGTTGTCAGGCATTCGTATTTTGTGTTCGGCCCATCTAAGTAGCTGTGTTTTAATGAACGTTACGACATGTGGTTCATTAAAGAGTTGGTATAAGTCGAAATTAAATATTTTACGCCACTGCTCTTGATCGTTTATAGCTTCAAATATTTTGCGGAGTATCTTACGCTCGAATATTCCCAGAAGTCTTTCATCCTTCTGCATCTGAGAGTCCATGTTTCCGCTCCGTATGTGGACTGGCCTCAGCACTGTTTTGTATATATTAATTTTAGTTTTTCTTTAGATATTTTTTGAGTGGAATTGTTGGAGTCCATAGTATACCCTATTTGTAAGGTTTAGTCGTCTTTTATTTTCCTCGCTTGTTTTATTGGTAGTAGTCACTAGCGAGACAAGGTATGTGAAGCTGTCAAAAGCTGTTTAAAGATATGACTTCCAAATGCTGTTTTCCGTTCCTCATTTGCTATAGGATCCTTAGTAACCAACATGTACTTAGTTTTGTCTTAGTTGATGAAGAGAACGACCTGTTTCGCCGCCGTTTCCAATTGTAGGTAAGATTGCTCAACATCTCGCTTGCTACGTCCTCTTATGTCAATGCCATCAGTGTAAGCTAAGATTTGTATCGATCTATTGTAAATAGTACTACCGTCTAGGCAATACTAGAATCTCGAATACTCGTCTTAACGTTGGCTTTTAAGTTAGACATTGTCATTCTCGTTAATCGGATAAGTTTTCTGGTATACCAAACTCACGCATTGATTGGTATAGTACTGTTCTCTTGACACTGTCGGATGCGGCCTTAAAGTCGACGAATAGGTGATGGGTTTCATTGTTATATTCTAATGTTTTCTCGAGGATCTGTCTTATTGTATGAATCTGGTCAATTTTTGATTTTTCTGGAGCTGATTGCCTTTTTTAATTTAACGGGCATATTACGCCTTGAGACCATGCACAGGGCATGGTCTCATTTTGCCAGACAAGAAGTAAAAGTTTATGCAGTGCTTGTAGCAGGGCGTCACCGCCATAATTGTAGAGCTCACTACAAATTTGATCAGTTCCTGGTGCTGTATTTTTGTTAAGCTTTTTAATGACTTATGCATTCTTTTCAGTGATAGATAGTCTTTCGTTTAGGTTGAATAGATTCCAATCATTTTGATCTATTCTGGATAGTGATGCGCAACGTATAGCCTCTCCGATCCAAATGTCAACCTCACCTGCCCGTGTAATGGTTTTGATCATGACTAGTCGGTGGATGCTGCTAGATATCAAACGAGGCTCTGACGTCCGAGAGATTACCAATATAAGCAATTGCCCCACTTACTCACTTACTGGCCAACGGCTACAGGCGGATGAGCTGGTAAGTGGCGGGGCACTCCTTTGTCCTAGAATTGGAAACATATATATATATATTATATATATATATATATATATATATATATATCAGTTTAACGTTCTACGCCGTCTTCTGATTATCTCGGTCGTTCTATTGGTATTTTGTGTTCATCCATTCTTTGGACGTGTCCATACCATCTTAGTTGATTTACTCTGATGTCCTCTGTTAAATTATGTTTAACACCCATAATTTCTCGTATTCTTTCGTTTCCAACTCTGTCTAATCTTGATTTTCCAGCCGCTCTTCTCCAGAAGTCCATTTCTGTTGCTTCTAATGCTTTTAAGTTTTTTCCTTTCAGTGACCATACCTCACTTTTATATGTAATGATGCTTTTTATAATGCTGTTATAGATTTTGTGTTTTTTTCTTTGGAGATTGTTTTATTCCATACTACACTGTTTAATTGTCTAATGGCTTGTCTTCCTTGGTTATTTCTATGTTTAATTTCTTCGTCTAATTTGCCATCGTTGGTTATTTGCATGTCTAAATATTTGTATTTTTTACAGTGATTTATTTCTCGCTGTATTTCTTCCAAGATTAGATTTTGTTCAATTCCCCCAATGAACATGTATTCAGTTTTCTTGATATTTACTTCTAGCCCCCATAGTTCGTATTCTTCGATAAGTTTACGGGTCATAGAATTGGAAAACTGGCCCTAAAGGCGGATGAGCTAAGACATTAGCCAACGGCATAAGAATACAGAAGGCTACGGAAAACCACTGTATTAATGATCGTAAGATATCCCTAGTCGAATCATTACGAAATGAGAAGACAGAGTAAGCATACGTGTACTGATCATGGGTAACGAAGACCAAGATCCGGCATGAATATTGTCTTTTCAGGTCGTCAACCAGCGAAATCCCTAAGAAAAAAGCAGACCGTCAATTTAAAATTGGAACGTGGAATATAACCAGCATGTTCGAATTCGGAAAAGCACCCAATGTAATCCAAGAAATGAAAAGAATTAACATCAATATTTTAAGAACAAGTGAAACCGGATGGATAGAAAATGGAAAATATAAAGTTAGAGAGCCTACGATATATTATTTGTAGCTCAAAATTTTCTACTTTTTTCCGAAAGAGTTGTGCTACTGCAACTAAAACGAAAGACAGAAAAATAATTAGACATAATTAAAAGACATAATTCAAGTCTATGCCCTAACGACCGAAAAAGATGACAAAAAGGAGGAATTGTTATATGAACAAATTTAACAAGCATTGAGAACTACCAAAGCACGTTACGTCACAATAATAATGAGTAACCTGAGGCAAACAGTGCATTCTTGACTATGAGTTCTGTGTTCAAGAGCCATGACCTCACCCTAGAAACAAAAATAAGACTCCTTAAATGTTATGTGTACTCAGTGCTTCTGTACGGAGTAGAAACGTGGATATTAAAGTCGGAAACTCTATCAAAACTTCAGGCTTTTGAGCTATGGTCATACAGAATGATATTGAAGATACCATGGACAGACAAAGTCACCAATGAAGAAGTACTGCGGAGAATGAACACAAGTGCGGATTTGGTCAACAACGTGAAGGGCTGTAAGCTGTAGTACTTGGGCCATATAATGAGAAATCAAGGCAGAGAAGAGCTGATTCAATGTATTTTACAAGGTAAAATTGAAGTACAAAGGGCCCCAGGACGAAGAAAAATATCCTGGCTTGCTAACCTGAGAGCATGGTATAGAAAGACCTCAACACAGCTATTTCGTATAGCAACCAACAAAATCATCATAGCCAGAATGATCGCCAACGTTCAGAACGGACAGGCACACTAAGAAGAAGACCTGAACGCCAAAGGATATTCTTCTCCGTCCTGGACCTCTTTTCCCATGCACTTTACCTTGAAGTATGGTCCGAAGTAGGTCATATCGTTGTTCATTGCGCATTATATGGCCCAGGTATTCTAATTTGCGACGTTTTATGGTTACGAGTAGTTCGCGCTGTTTACCCATTCTACGTAGTACTTCTTCGTTAGTAATTCTGTCTATCCAGGAAATCCTCAACATGCGTCTATAGCACCACATCTCAAATGCTTCGAATCTCTTCAGTGATGCTTCAGTTAAGGTCCATGACTCTACGCCATATAAAAGAACGGAAAATGTGAAACATTATGTGAAGTTTATTGAAAGCCTACGAAACGGAGCTAATAGGAGAATACAAGAGTCATGATAGAAGGATGTCCTTAACATCTGTTTTAAGTCAATAGAGGATTAAAACAGGGCGATCTATTGTCAACAAGGTTATTCAACCTAGTACTAGACAAAATAATTTGAACGGTCAAGATCCAGACAAGCGGCACGTTTTTACCAAAAGTCAACAAATAGGTTTTGCAGATAACTTGGCGTTTCTAACACGTTTAGGAATAGAACTGGCATATATATATATATATATATATATATATATATATATATATATATATATACATATATATATATATATATACATATATATATATATATATATATATATATATATATATATATATAGAGAGAGAGAGAGAGAGAGAGAGGAAAGAAATTTAATCTTTGCAGATAAGTTAAATAGTAAACTCTTAAATATTGTCGAAATCTGCAAGAAAGACTCTAATGAGTATCAATTGTTCCGCCGAACGTTTTCAACAAAGAGAATTAATTTGGCTTCGTCAGGGCTGAAAGGGAATAAATTATAATTAGCTGCCATATATTATCTATTAAAAAACATTATTGATCTTACCGTAACTAAGAATTGTTGAGTTATGATGTTAAAAAACTTAGTAACAACATAGTGGTGTTTT